TTTATTAAATATGATGATTAATTTCATCATAATATATGCAAGTTATCTTAAATACCTCACATAATTTGTTTTGCAAAAAAAAATGTTTATAATATATATTATAATAATTATAATATAAATTATTAATATTATAAATTTATATATTATATTAAATATTATTCTTAAATGATATTTATATTTATAAAATTTTATTATATATTTTAAAATTTTATAAATATTATTAAATGCTCATATACTTATATTATATTATTTTAATTTTATTAATTTTTAATAATATTATTATTTATTACGTCATCCGGTTTGATCGGTTGAACCGTGAACCTCTCCCTCTTCCTGTTCATTTTCTGGTCCGGTTTTCACTACCTTGATGCTACCCACCAGCACATACAGAAAAGCTGCAGTGAATGCCAACGTGAACCAGTAACGATGACAGCAAGTATGTTGCAGGAGTGATTAGTCTTTTGTGAACATAGGTATGCAGGCAATGTACTATTTGCGAGTAAAGACCAGAGATTGTAACAAATGCAAAGACTACAACAAATACCGGCTCCTATGAGCCACTATAGAAAGCTTGTCATGCAGGAAGTGACCAACAATCTATAGCGACACTTATAAGCAATAATTGTTCACCTACATCCAATAGCCAGTGTGATGCAATCTAAAAAATACTAAGATTGCAAACTAAAGACTTCATTTCCATAAAACATAGACAAATATAGATAGAACAAAATAACAATAGTATTATATCCCACAATAGATTAAATAAACACAACAAGGAATACAACAACACCTTACAACTTCAAATAAAAGGACACAATATCTTACAACTTCAAAAAAAAAGGGACACAACAACACCATATGACTATTCAAATCTTTGAGAAGAAAGATACATGTGGAATGAGAACTGTGAAGAGAAGAAGAAGATAGAAGTCTGAGATGAAGTTTTAGAAGATAGGGAGGTAGAAGAAAATAGCTCGCAAGCTATTTAAACCCGCATGTTTTACTTTTCAAATATTATTCACAATTCACTCTAACCAAACTCTAAAGGAAATCAACCACCTTATATAGGAGATGGAGAAAAAATTTTTAAATGCTCTCCTTAATGAGCCACCCAAATCAGCCAATGGAATAAACCCAAAGCATAGGAATCAATAAGGAACAATACACGAATAACCAACATAGGGAAAAACGAAACCAACACGGAGAGACCAACAACCAATTACGGGAAGACCAAACAACCATATAGAGAAGAATAAACATCCACAATATGGGAAAATCGAAAGGCTAACAGTAGGAAAACTAAAAGCCAACAAGGAAAACGAGGAATCAGAAAGGGAAACTGAGAAGTCATGCAAGAAAGCTAATCAATGGCAAGTATTGATTGCATCAGGGTGGAACTATACTTAATTTAACAACTTAAAACTAAATGAAATAATCTCAAAAACATTTTTTTTCTCTCAAAATAATTACCCATAAAAGTTTTGATACCTACAAACCTTTATGCATACTCGATTCTCCGGAAAATTAAAAAAAAAAAATCCGGATTTTTCTTTACTTACCTAACATCCCAACTTTTGGCCCTTCTTTCCTTTGGCTCTAGCTTGCACGGCTCCTGCTCTTTATGCAGATAATGAAGTTGCAGGATGGCATTGCAGGAAATGGGAATGAATGTTCAGTGCTTTAAGTATGCATGTTGATATTAGTAATAGTTGTGTATATAACTCGTGGTTTAAAAAATCATTCGAGGCACACGTCTTGAGGCTCGCCTCAAACTGATGCGCACAATGAATGCCTCGAGGCTTAAGCCTCGCTGGTGCTAGTGAGGCTTAAATGAGGCGCACGCCTTGAGGTCTAACGCCTCGAGTTGTTTCGAGGGAACGCCTCATTATTGTCAAGTTTTATAACTTTTTATTATATATTATTATTAACAATATATAGTTTTTTCTATTATATAAAGAGGATGAACAAATTAGCTATAGACGAATGAACTAGGTTGAATGGTTGTGTTATATTTAGTAAAAACTTAAAAGAGAAACACTTCAAATTATAGAGCCGAATGATTGGTGATGAAATAAATCATATGGTTTTTAATAATATATTTTCCAATGATGAATTGATAATAACAGAAATAGTAAAAATATTTAAAATGGAAAATACAGGTATGCATTTGATGATGAGAAGAATGAAAATTTATATTATATTGAATCCAATGTTCATTAATATGGGGAGTTATAATAAACATTATAATTGTAGAATATTTAGAAGATGATAATGAATTAGAAATCAAGGATGATATAATTATTACATACGAGGGCTATTATGAAGAATATGTAAGAATGAGGTTGGCATGGATTCTAATATTAATGACGTATTTAAGTTTTAAATGAGTATTTATTTTGAATCTCATTTCAAATTTTCATTTCATAATACCATTTAATATTGGGAATTGTAGTTTATATCTTTATAATGCTGAATCAAATAAATATGTTGGTGTTTTATTTTACTTTTGTCTTTTTTATGAATTATTTGTAAGTTAATGTGTTTTTTATTTTCCTCTTTTGAGGCTTACGCCTCGATCTACTTCAAGGCTTATGCCTCACCTCGTTAAGGCAAAACTTCTCAATTCCCTATTTTGCCTTTTTAAACCTTGATATAACCTAATATAATTAAAGCAAACCATCAGAGCCGTGCACCCAAACCACTAGCTATTGCATGAAATATTAGATGGAAAACCATAGTAAATTAATACCTACTACAAAAGCATAATTCAATGAATAGTAATTCTAATAAAAGAATAGGTCATTTAATTAAATTAGTAAATAATGTTTATAAGTGCCTATATATATACACAAATACACATACATATGCATATATACACACATACATATACGTACCAAAATGATCATAAAGAAATGTTAAATGTATAAAATTGCTTTTAATTATTTTTTTGCTTTATCAAATTTAAGGAAAAAAATAAAGAAATGTTGTTATTACCTTTTTAACATTATTGAATATTACAGATAACGAGTGAATCAAGTTTTGAGTACTTGAATGCATAATTAGCCTAACTGTAAAAAGTCTCACAAGATAAAAATAAATGCGACTTACTATTGGGAACTTTTATTTGGTCCGGTGGACGTACCTAGAGCTACGCTCGGCCGGCACTAAGATCGCAGGTACAAAATGAGAAATACCGAGCAATACCAACAATAACGAGAAATACCATTATGTGAAGACAAAATACCGAGTAATACCGAGCAATACCGAGAAAAAACTCAGTATTTTTTGGGATTACTCGGTATTGCTCGGTATTTCTCGGTATTGGTCTTCACAGAGCGGTATTCCTCATTATTACCAAACAATACCTAACAATACTGACCAAATATCGAGCAAAAACCGAGTAACAATCCTCTGACCGAACGTAGAGCTACGTCCGGTCTGAGGATATAATAAAAGTTCTACTATTTGAGATCGCCAAGGAAATTATTTGATTATTCATTTAATAGTGAAGGACCCAATTGGAAAAATGAGCAAGCTATTTGAAGTTTTTCATTCATCTATTCTAGAATTTAAGTTATGTGAAATAGCTACCATGTTGTACTATTTGAAAGGTTTTATGATGGAAGCTAGAAGAAAGTTGACCTGTTCAACTTAGTACATGGTAGTTAACCAAGTGTGGGATGGCATTTGTTTTCTTGATCTTTGGCTCTTCAAAACTAAATCATAATTTTAGGAAGGATGATCAAAATGGTTCCTTAATTTTTTATGAAGGATCAGTATGATCTCCAACTATGTTAAATGACTATTTTGATCTCTCAAATCTTTAAAGTCATGGGAATTGGTTCCTCTTTAAGGAGTTGAGGGCAAAAGAAATCAAAATGGTCTTTTAATATTGTTGGGGACCATTTTGAACTTTCATAAAAGTCAATGGACCATTTTGGTCTTTTTCTAAATAATTTTATGGCTATATAACTGGCTTAGTGTGCACAGAGACAAAATTGGGACTTGGATAGACCACAAATGGAAAGCAAGCTTTGGAAATGTTGGATTGGCAGCAGCAAGCACCTGACTGATCATTATTTTTTTAAGGATAATGTCTAGCATTATTACGTGTATTTTAATAGCAAACATATTAGCATATGGCTGTGATGAGCTGGAATGAGTGAGAGGTGATAACTAACAGTTATTGATAATCAAGTTGTCTATGAAAGTACAAGAAATCTTGGTGAAGTGTATGCTAAAAGAAGATCAAATGGAATTGTTCCTCACAATCCGTCTCATTGACAAAAAATATATATCTAGCCCAATTGGATATGGATGTCAGTTCTGTTGATTGAAATTTCCGACTAGTGCTTCATTTGGGACGATTTTCTTACTGCTTCTTAAAGCAGTAAGAAAGCCGTCCCAAATGAAGCATAGGAGTAGGGTTACAAAGCATTAAGCTGTGGAAAAAAAAAACAAAAAAAGACCGGTGAACATAACCTCAAACATAGAAATAGCATCTTTGTATGTGCATTAATGCTCAACAAGTTTTTGATTTGTTGAAAAAGAACTTCCTTGATTGACAATTTTCTAGTTTATTTCCTCCATATCCCTTGAGTCCCTTTAGAAGTTCAAATGTCTGCTTTGTCTTTTTTTTCAGCCACAGAAAAAAACTGTTTATGGGCAAAACATTCTATTTTTTGTTCTGAAATTTAGCTTTTTTAAAGCAGATTATTGAAATCCTCACTTTTTATATTTGAAAGATCGTCTTTAATTTGCAACAACTTTTGCCACTGCAACTTATATAAAGCTAAAACAAAGAGGGCCCTAGATTTAAATTTTATCTCAAATTCTCCGTCCTTAAATATTTGGTTTTTTCATTCCTGAGCTATTTTTCTGGATTGTCAAATTTTTCTACTTGAAGCTTATAGAAAAGGAGTATTGAGGCTGAAATTAGTGTGTATTTTGGTCTCAATATTTTTGCATTTTCACCAATGCAGCTATATTTGTTGTTGCAGCTGGGAAGCCATGGTTCTAATCTCACCGAGGAGGAGCTTGAGACGCACACAATATCAGCATGGAAACTGGGAAAGAGACAACGTTATGGTCAACTTGATGTTCATGGAAGACCAATCGAAAGTCATTTAGTTCATGTGAGTTTATGTGGTGCCACTTTAGTTGTTTCACAGTTATTAGCTTCGGTTTCCAAATTTCAATGTGGTTTTGTTGCAATCTGATTTGTTCTGGCTAATAAGAGATCAATTATTTGATCTGTTCTCTTTTCTTTTTGTATGATGTAAGAATTCCATCCTGGAAGTTGCATTATGTAGACATGGAAGCATGAAAAAATCGTGGAACAAGACAACGTCCCAAGGGAAAAGTGGTTTATATTTAAATGCGAAGTATGGACACAATGTCTTATTCTAAATCACTCTTCAGAAAATTCATTTAGCATGATCTGTAAATCATGAATATACATGACAAACTAAGGATAGAAAGTTACTAAGAACCTTAAAAAAAATAACTCCTAAGCATCATTTTCACCCAGATGCATAAATTGTATACCGTTCGAGTTTTTTCGTTTGAAAAACAGGTATAAAGCATGATGATGTGAATCAAAGTAGGAATTGCGATTAGAAATTAAAATGAAGATTATTCAAAGCTTTGTCAACACAAATTTTATTACCAACAAAAATTAAGGAATAAATCGTTCTAGATCATTAACTTGCTTAGGCGAAGACTTGCTTTGAGATAACCAAACAATTCATAACATTCAAAAGATAAAAGTAATACTTAAATGCTCATCACAAAAATCCCGCAATTAATAATAAAGAAGTTCACCTTGAGTACCCTTTCTCTCCCTCTCGTTCACTCTTGGGCTTTAGCGGAGAATAAGGAACCATGCGAGGATGAAGAGCACCTCTACGATGAAGGCGACGAAAGATTTTGTTGCCGGAAAGGTATTCACCGGAGAAGGTGGTGGCGGATGGCGTACAATGATCGTCCAAGTGTAACCACGCAATTGTCGGTCGAAAATACTTGCGAGGATCGGGACGACTCGCTCCAAATACTCTTCGATTGTGGCGTCGTCTTCAAATCCTACGTCGAAGCAAGGAGAGCGTAGGATATCGATGCTCCCGTCGGCGTGGAAAACTAACCCCCACTCAAGCTCCGGATCCGCCATTCAACATTGAGGCAAGGCGGGAAGAAAACAAGGGAAGGGGTTCGGCCAAGAGCTAGGGAGGAGTAAGGAGAAAATCTGAAATTTGAATTTCAGATTTTTCTAGGCTTGAAAGGAGAAGTTATTTTATCATTAAATCCTCCTTTAACCAAATTAGAAGGGACAGCCATTAGTGGGAGAAATTAAGGGGTTAATTAGTAGACGATGAGGTGGCAAAGAGAGAGAAACGGTTATGTGTTGGGGCCGGCCAAGCAAAGGAAGAAAGAGGGGAAATTTTATTAAGTAGTGGGGCCCATGTGATTAATTAAAACCTAATTTGAATTTCAGGTTTTAATCAATTAGAAGGAGTTCAAAATTTGAAAATAAAACTGATAAGATTTTCATTTAATCTCTCCCTAAATATAAGGCATCAATTTAGGAAGGATTAATGAGAGAATTAATGCCAAAAAAAAATTGAATTTCTTCTGGGCTAGGTGGCGGGATTGCCTGGACAGAGGAGGGGGGGGGGAGACGGGCTGCTGGTTTCGGTGGACTGGAGGGAGCGGTCGGCTGGCATAGCGGGGAGGCAGGAGTGCGGGTGAGGGAATTCGGGCGGAACAGAGGAGGGGATTTCGGGATTTTGACTGCAGGGAGGAAACGGGTGTATGGAGGGATTGGTAGGGAAGAGAAAAACAGTGAACTTACAAGGAAGAGCCAAGAGCTCGCCGGAGCGGGCTGTTGGGTATTGCGGTCGGAGCCTCACCTAGGCCTCCTCTCTCTTTTCTCTCAAGCTCTCAAGCAAGAATACAAAGGAATTTCAGAAAATTTCATTAATCAATCATCAACTCATACAATAAGAGGAGATCTCCTTATAAAGATCTCAAAGCATGAAAAAAGACTCACATGCCCCTTGGGCTACAATAAACACTACGCCTATATAAGGGCGAAATCGTCACTAGTACATGAAATAAAAGACACACAAAATAAAATAACATAAAATGACATGATAACATCAAAAATATAAACTCCCGATCGTAGCCGTCGATCTACGATTCTTCCGCCGATAAACCTGCCTAAAATGTCTGTCGATGACCTCATCACATGAAGTGTGAGGTGCCTAAGAATAAAAAAGTTTAAGCAGTTGGAAGCAAATTAAAATTTGTGCTTCTTTCAACCAAATTGAAAAATGTAAATCAATCATACGGAGTCAAACTCTAAACCGGGCTTATCAGTTAAAAAATACCAATGTATTCCTTTATCATGTGCACCTGGTATATGTTAGGCCGGCCCTAGGGCAAGCTGAATCAGTCCAACTTAGACCGGTTCTTTGCTACAAGAGGAGGGGGCGAAACCAAGGGGAAGAGAGCGAGGGACCGGTTGGAGAGATGGGGCCCACGACTTAATTAAACTTGCTTTGGGAGGGAAAATTTTAATCAGGGGCTGTTTAGGGATTTTGTATTTGTTCTCTTTATTTTAATTAGTTCCTTTGGGAGAATTAGGGTTTTCATCTTGAGTTTGAAATCAAATTTTAGATCTAGGGTTTGTTCCTTTGGGCTCTAGGTTTGGCTATAGATTTAGAGAGTTGTTTCTTCCTCTCGAATTGAAGAAACTTGTATCGTTTGCTGTTTTCCTGCATCGGTTAGTGGAATTCTTCATTTTTCTTTCAGTTTTCTCCATATTTCTCAAGAAGGTTGTTGTACCGTTTCTATTTTATGGTGTAATTAATAGTTTTCTTGTTGTTTTTCACCAATCATTGCTAGGTTTGCTGCGAACTCAAGTATTTCCCTTAGGGTTACTTGCAAACTTATGTATTTCATATCAAATTGGTATCAGAGCGTTATCTTGGGGCCATCGGTGGCTGAAATTCTGAAATTTCAGCGGAGCAATTTCATCCAGAAGATCTGCTCATAAATCTTGGGAAGAAATATGGCTGGAAAGAAGGTTGAAGTTTTGAAAGGAGAAATTGGGCAACTAAAATTAGATTTGGAGGAAAAAATTTTTATTTTCAAAATCAAATTTTAGCCAATAATGAAAGGATGGATGGACAATTCGTCGTGATGGAAGAGATCTTAAAGAAATTGCTAGAAGCGAAACCTAGACCAATCCGGCGACATCGGAAGGAAGGGAAATCATCGGCGGCCATGGAAGAGGTGGAAACCCTAACATGTTTAGGGGAAGGGAAAATTCGGAAGTGGAGATCTTGGAGATAGAAGACGGAATACTTCCTCTAGAATCACTTTCTAGGGAGGAGATGATCACTGGTTTCGAAAGAAGTGCTGCTGATTTTGTAGGGAGAAGGAAGGATTTCTACAACAGAGGTGCTTAATTTGAGAGAAGAAGAGGGGAATTTTATGAAGGGGTTGGATATGATTGCCGGAGTGAAGATCATGACAACTGGGGAGCACCTCCTCTTTGCAGAATGGGAGGTTATGGAGGATTCAGGGTCAACGAGGGTGACCCGAAGGTGAGGAAGCTGAAGATGCCTATCTTTGAGGGCGAGGATGGTCATGGATGGATCTACAAGGTGGAACAATATTTCGCCGTCAACGAGTTGACGGAGGAAGAAAAGCTGATGGCGGCAGGGTTGTGTTTGGAGGGGAAGGCACTGGCATAGTACCAATGGCGAGACCTGAGACAACTCATTGGAGTTGGAGTGAGTTCAAAGAGTGCTTATTAGAAAGTTTCCGAAACGGTAGGGGAGGAGACTTCTATAAGCAATTCTTTGCCTTGATATAAGAGGGGACTGTGACAGATTTCCATGATAGGTTCGAGTACTTGGCCAGCAGATTATACCGGTTCTCTTAGATAGTGATCGAGGGGAATTTTATGAAGGGGCTTAAACGGAGGTACGGGTAGCGGTTAGGGTGATGAGGCCAAGAGACCTAGGGGAGGCCATGGAGCTAGCCCAGCTGGTGGAGGATCAAAAGCAACTGGAGAGAGGGGCTAGGGGAAGCAATTGGGGGGGGTGGGGGGGGGGGAAGGGTCGTACAGGATGACCACCACCTTCTTAGCTCTCAAGAGGCCACCACCAGGGAGTTTGAAGGAAGTGTCGAAGGAGAGAGCTGGAGGAGGGGGAAATGATGGAAATTTTAAAAGACTGATTGAGAAGGAGATACAGGAGAAGAGGGCAAAGGTGTTGTGTATTAGGTGCGACGAGAAGTACATGTTGGGGCATAGATGTAAGGATCGAACTCTTTAGGTTCTCACCGTCTGTGATGAAGAGGAAGCTGAAGAGGGAGGCGGGAGCGAATTAGAGATGGAGGAAGAGGAGAAGTTGCATCTAGATATGGCAGAAGTCTCCTTAAACTCAGTGGTGTGATTCACTCCAAATCACACTATGAAGGTGAAGGGAGAGATAGCTGATAAAGAGGTGATAATGCAAATAGATTGTGGGGCAACCTACAATTTCATCTCCACTCAGATTGTTGATCTGCTGAGGGTGAAATTTATAGATATAGGAGTCTATGAAGTGATGATGGGCTCGGAAAAGGTGAAAATGGGTAGAGGAGTTTGTAGGACAGTCGTGCTGACCATTCAGGGGATATAAGTGATGGTGGATTTTCTTCCCTTGGAATTGGGAAGCACCAATGTCATTCCGGGGATGAAGTGGCTACAGACCTTGGGAGAGACCAAGGTCAATTGGGGGACACTAAGGATGGAATTGGTGGTTGGGGGGAAGATAATGGTGATTCAGGGTGATGCAGGGCTATCTAAGACTGGAGTATCTCTCAAGTCCCTGATCAGAATCATAGAGGAGGTGCGAGGAGGATATTTGGTGGAGTTGCATCGTTTGGAGGGAGTAAGACTGGAGGAGGGCGACATTCAATGAGGTTTTTCAACCTCCCCAGGGATTACCACCACTAAGAGAGTTGGAGAATGCCATTTCTTTGAAGGAAGGAGTGTCGCCGATAAGTGTTCGTCCCTACTGTTATCCTCAGATTCAAAAGGATGAGATTGAGAAGCTGATCTGGGAGATGCTGGAGGCTGGGATTA